GCCCGCCCGGCCCCGCCATGGGCATCCAGGGCATGGAGCTGTGCGCCGTGGCCGTCGTCATCCTCCTCTTCATCGCCGTCCTCAAGCAGTTCGGCATCCTCGAGCCCATCTCCGTGGAAGGTAAAGCCCCCCCGCCCGCGCCCCTCGGGGCGTTTTCCCCACGTTTTCCTTTTCCCGGATCAATGCCACGCCGGAGGCATCGATCCCCGGGCGCTGCCCTTTGGCGGCTGCTTCCATGGCGGGTGCCGYGTCACGGCCCGGCCGCCTGCTCCCCTCCACGTCCCCCTGGATGGGATCCCCGAGCCCATTCCCAGCAGCTTTTCCCATGGGATCACTTATCCGTCCCCTCGTGCAAGACCCCGGCGCGTGGCAGGGGGCTCCCTGGGCCGCAACACCAGAGCGCAGCCAGTCGGGACCTGCATCCCGGCTCTGCATCCACCTCTCCCGAGGGAATTCCCACGCGGAGCCGGCATTCCCAGCAGCGATCCGATAGGGGAAAACCACGAGCGAGCGGCTGCTCCGTCAGCCGGCGCGCGCACCGCCGGCGCACGTACAGCCGGCGCACGTACAGCCGGCGTGCGCTTGTCGGGCGGCCGAGCCGGGAGGACCGTGCTTCCCAGCCGGCGCCGACCCGTGTCCCCGTGTCCCCCCGTGTCCCCCCGTGTCCCCGCAGACGGCGCCGACGACGACGTGGAGCTGGCGGCCGTGCGGCACCAGCCCGAGGGGCTGGCGCAGCTGCAGGCGCAGACCAAGTTCACCAAGGCGGAGCTGCAGTCCCTGTACCGGGGCTTCAAGGCGGTGAGCGCCCCCGGGGACGGTCCCCGCGGCGGCCGCGCGCCCCGGGGACACCCCGCGGCGGCAACGCGGCGCCCGTCCCCCCCAGGAGTGTCCCAGCGGCCTCGTAGACCAGGACACCTTCAAGCTCATTTACTCGCAGTTCTTCCCCCAGGGCGGTGAGCRGGTTTGGGGGGGGACACCGGGTGCCTCTTGGGGACGTCCCCGTCCCCCTGTGCAGGCCGGGGGGGTGAGCGGCAACGTGTCCCCCCGCCGTCCCRCAGACGCCGCTGCCTATGCCGGCTTCCTGTTCAACGCCTTCGACGCRGACGGCAACGGGCTCATCTGCTTCCAGGTGAGCGCCGGGCGCCCCAGCGCTTCCCGGGAAGCTCCGCCGGGAAAGCCGGGCGCCTCCGCAGGAGGAGCAGCCTCCGAGCCGCCCAGTTTGCTTCCCGCTCGGCTCCGGGGCGGCCGCTCCGGGGGACAAGGGGTTACAGCCGCTGCGGCAGGCGCCGGCGGGGGCTTTTCATCGACGCGCTTAAAAATAGATAAGCGGCCGGAACGGAAAGGCGATCGATGGGGAAAACGCCCCGCGGTCGATGGCGTTTTTGGTGTCACCTCAGGGGAGCGAGACCCGGGGTGGGCTCAGTGTGGCCGCAGGGGGCCCGTCCATCCCGGAGGTTCTTCCCGCAGGATTTCGTGGCCGGCCTCTCCGTGCTGCTCCGCGGGACGGTGCAGGAGAAGCTCCACTGGGCGTTCAACCTCTACGACCTCAACAAGGACGGCCGCATCACCAAGGAGGTGGCGGCGGGGGCGGCATTCCCGGGGGCGGGAAGGCGCTCCCGGGGGCGGCATTCCCGGCGGCGGGAAGGCGGCTCCCGGCGCCTGACGCCCGTCCCGGCGCCGCAGGAGATGCTGGCCATCGTGCAGTCCATCTACGCCATGCTGGGGCGCTGCACGCGGCCCGCGCTGCGGCCCGAGGCGCCCGCCCGCCACGTCGAGCGCTTCTTCCAGGTGGGCCGGGCGGCGCGGGACGGGGAGCGGGATGGCGGGCGCCTCGCCCGCGCTCACGGGCCGCCCCGCAGAAGATGGACGCCGACCGCGACGGCGTGGT